GAAGTGATATCTGCATACAGCACAGAAAATAATGTATGATTAATAAGTTAATTGAGGGAAAATTGAATTTTAAAATATGTATTCAATTAAAGTGGAGGAATGCGAGAGAGGATATCTGTGAAACAGATGTAGCAAATAAAAAACAAAATAATATGGAAAATATATAAATTCAAATATATTATGATTAGATGTTTATAGACAATATTCTCCAGATATATAATAATTGTTGCCTTACATAAAATAAGCAAAAACCAGCGTTGCATTTTTAACAGTGCACACCTGACAGACATAAGGACAAAGAAAAGTTTAAAGTGATGAAAAAGAAATATCATTTAAACACTAACCGTGAGAAAGCTGGATCTTGACCAGCTATACCATACTGATATCTATATCTCTATCTGTATCTCTATATCTCTATCTGTATCTATAGCAATGGATATAAAGTATCTATACAGTTATCAGAAGAAGATGAGGTGTTAAGGTAGGACCCACTACTAGAGACTTTTCCTAATTATAAACAAAGTGGTTTGATCTTAAATGCATTTTTAAAAAGTCTATTCCTCTCTTTTTCTAACAACTAGGCTTTTTAGATCATAATTTTTATAGTGTAATTATTCTTACCATGGCTATTGCAGTCAGACAACATGATGTCATTGATGGTGAATTAGAAAGAGATGTGCACAATCAGCTTTAAGCCAGCATATAAAAATCAGTTAAAAAAAAAAAAAGAAAGATCACCAGGAGCAGATCATGAGGCTAAATAAGTGAATCTTCTATAGCATAAAATTTTTAAAACTGCATAAGCAAAAAATCAGATATCTCAAACAGAACGAGACAAACCACAATTATGATTGTGTAACAGGTTTGCATGGTATTTTGCATATCCTATATGAAGAGCTAATATGCAAATTGACCATCACTCCAATACACCAGATGACCAACCCATGTGGACACAAGATGGCTGCCAAAAGATGGTCGGGAGGGGAGGGCAGTTGGGAGGGACCAGGCCATCAGGGGAGGACAGTTAGGGGTGACCAGGCCAGCAGAGGAGGGCAGTTGGGGGCGACCAGGAAAGGAGATTTAGGGGGGACCAGGCCGGCAGGGGAGGGCAGTTAGGGGCGTCCAGGCCGGCAGGGCAGGGCAGTTAGGGGCAATCGGGCTGGCAGGGGAGGGCAGTTAGGGGCAACCAGGCTGGCAAGGGAGGGAAGTTAGGGGTGACCCGGCCAGCAGACGAGGGCAGTTGGGGGTTAGCAGGCCTGCAGGGGAGGACAGTTAGGGGCGACCAGGCCTGCAGGGGAAGGCAGTTGGGGGTGACCAGGTCGGCAGGGGAGGACAGTTAGGGGCAATAGGGCTGGCAGGGGGGCAGTTAGGCATTGATCAGGCTGGCAGGGGAGTGGTTAGGGGGTGATCAGTCTGGCAGGCAGAGGCGGTTAGGGGCAATCAGGCAGGCAGGTGAGTGGTTGTGAGCCAGCAGTCCTGGATTGTGAGAGGGATGTCTGACTGCTGGGATCAGGCCTAAGCGGGCAGTCGGACATCCCTCGAGGGGTCCCAGGTTGGAGGGGTGCAGGCTGGGCTGAGGGACCCCCACCCCTGGAGTGCACCAATTTCGTGCACCAGATATCTAGTATATTATGAGATGATGAACAAGCAAAAACTATCAATTATGAATAAAAAATTACAAACAATCCTAGAAGCAAATGTAACCCTATAACAACACTTATACATAACAAGATGATGGAATACTATGAAAGTAATATGGAGATGTCAACCATACAATAATTTTAGGGGATCTATCTCACTGTGCTCCTGACTGCAACAGGAGGATTTAGTGATTGCTGCTAAAAGAACTTAACCCTATTGACACACATCTCTAAGGCTTGTTTGATATCTCTGTTCCTCAGGCTGTAGATGAAGGGGTTCAGCATGGGGGTAGCTACTGTATACATGACTGAAGCAATTATGTCTTTGGAACCCCACGATGAGGAGAAAAAGTAAACACCTGCAGCTGTCCCGTAGTATAAAGACACCACAGAGAGATGGGAGCCACAGGTAGAAAAGGCTTTAGAGAGCCTCTTAGTGGAGGGGACCCTCAGCATGATGGTCGCTATACGAATATAAGAGCCCAAAATAATACCAAAACACAAAAAGAAAATCATTCCTCCCTCAGTGAATATGACCATATCATTGAGGAAGGTGTCTGAACAGCTCAGTTTCACCAGTGCAGCAAGGTCACAGAAGTAGTGGGTGATGGTATTGTCAGCACAGAAAGACAGTCTGACCAAGAGGAGGATGTGCAAAAGGGCATGGCCACAGGAGAGATTCCAGGAGCCAGCCACCAGCAGCAGACACAGCCCCTCCCTCATGATGGTGGTATAGTGCAGAGGCTGACAGATGGCCACATACCTGTCATATGCCATCACAGCCAGAAGAAAATTGTCAAGACCACCAAAAAGCATGAAAAAATACATCTGAGAAATGCATCCCACATAGGAGATGGATTGTTGCCGAGTCTGCATGTTCATGAGCATCTT